CTGTGATCTCAGCTACTTGGGAGGCTGAGGCAGGAGAATCGCTTGAACCGGGGAGGTGGCGTTTGCAGTGAGCCGAGATAGCGCCACTGCACTCCAGCCTGGGCAACACAGTGAGACTATCTCAAAAAAAAAGAACGAGGAAAAGAAAGGAAAGGCTAGTGCTGGCGGGATCGCTGCAGGTGGGTCCTCAGGCTGAGTGGTGGGACTTTCACTTTCCGTGCTGGCTCCATTACTTCTGTGTGGATTAAAATAATCATAACCTGTAGTTATTCCTTTCGTTATAAAAATAAAAGAGTATTTTAGAATGTGTGGCCCAGCCAGCAGGGCCGGCAGGCTCCCTCCCGAAGCCCTCAGCGGAATGCGGCTTGGTTGCTTGGGCAACGTCTGCCGCCCCCTAGGGGACAACGCAGCCTTCCCGCAAGGGCAGCCTGGGCCGCGCACAGCGTGGGCTCAGGCGCCGGTGGAGGAGGCCTGCAGGCAGCCTGGCTCTCCTAGCAGTCACCATGCCTGTCGGAGGAGCAGCCGGCTGGCTCCAGTGGACTCTCCCAGGCTCTGCCTCCTGCCGTCCGCAGAAGACTCCAGGTCCATCGACTGCTGGAAAATTCAAGACCCAGAGAGGTCATGCCACCGGCCCAGGGTAGCACAGCTGGGAGAGGCAGAGCCCCGGGCCAGACCCTAGGCTGAGGGCTCCTCCCCTCCACCAGGCAGGATCGATGAGGCCTGGAAGGAAGCTGGGCAAGGTATAAGCAGCTTCATTCTTGTTCACTGTTCTTTTACTACTTATTTTTATTTTTATTTTTGAGACAGGAGCCTTACTCCTTCACCCAGGCTGGAGTGCAGTGGCCCTTTTACTACCTTTTTTTTTTTAATTTTGAGACGGAGTCTCGCTCTGTTGCCCAGGCTGGACTGCAGTGGCACCGAGATGGAGTCTTGCTCTGTTGCCCAGGCTGGAGTGCAGTGGCGCCATCTGGGCTCACTGCAAGCTCCGCCTCCCGGGTTCAAGCAATTCTCCTGCCTCCCTCCCGAGTAACTGGGACTACAGGCGCCCGCCACCTCGCCCGGCTAATTTTTTGTATTTTTTAGTAGAAATGGGGTTTCACCGTGTTAGCCAGGATGGTCTCGATCTCCTGACCTCGTGATCCACCCTCCTGACCTCGTGATCCGCCCTCCTCGGCCTCCCAAAGTTCTGGGATTACAGGCGTGAGCCACCGCACCCGGCCCCCTTTTACTGCTTGTTTAGTTTTTTGAGATGGGGTCTCACTCTCGATGTTGCCCAGGCTGTAGTGCGGTGGCTATTCACAGGCACAGTCCCACTACTGATCGGCACAGGGGTTTTGACTTGCTCCATTTCCAGCCTGGGCCGGTTCACCCCTCCTTAAGCAACCTGGTGGTCTCCCACTCCCGGGAGGTCACTATATGGATGCTGACTGTAGCGTATCGGACAATCAGCCCAGCGCACTACAGCCCAGAACTCCCGGGCTCAAGTCGTCCTCCCCCGCCAGACTCCTGAGTAGCTGGGACTACAGGCATGCGCCACCACAGCCGGCTACTACTTTTTATCACGGACTACAACAAAGGTCACATACTCATCATCTTTCTCCTTTTCTTCCTTTCTTTTTTTGCCAGACAATGTTAAATTAAATTTCAGCCATCATGCCATTTTACCACCATGTACTTCTGTTTGTATCTCTAAGAAATATAGGCATTTCCTCATAGAACTTTGGTGCCATTATTGCACCTAACAAGAATAATGATTGTTTAAAATCATCTAATGCCACCGGGTGCGGTGACTCATTCTTGTAATTCCAGCACTTTGGGAGGCTGACATGGGTGGATCACTTGAGGTCTGGAGTTTGAGACCAGCCTAGCCAACATAGTGAAACCCTATCTCTACCAAAAATACAAAAAAACTAGCTGGGCATGGTGGTACGCACCTATAATCCCAGCTACTCAAGAGGCAACTCACTGCAACCTCCTCCTCCTTGGTTCAAGGAGAATCACTTGACCCAGGAGATGGAGGTTGCAGTGAGCCAAGATTGCACCACTGTACTCCAGCCTGAGCGACAGAGCGAAACTCCATCTAAAAAAATAAAAATAAAAAATAAAAAAGTAAGTAAAGTCATCTAATGCCATTGGCTATCTCCAGCTGAGTACACCTGGGAGTGCAGGGCCTCCAGGTGAACACCTTCGGGGAGGAGAAGGTGCTTGGTGGAAAGGATGGATGGGGTGATGGGGGCAGGTGGGTGACATCCTCTTGAAGTCCCTTTGATCTTTAGGGCCTGGCACAGTGAGGGTACTGAGGGTGTAGACTGACTGATGGCCTGTCCCAGATTCTGAAACACTGTCTCACGCCTTTCTTGTGGGGCCCCTGCCAGCCTGTCCATCCTTCCAGCCATCTGTCTTTCTGTCCATGCCTTCATCGCTCTACCCCTTCATCCAACCACTCGTCCCTCTGTCCATCGTCCACTCATCCGTCTGTCCAGCCCTCCTCCCATCCATCCATTTGTCTACCTGCCCATCCCTCCCTCCTCCATTTGTCTCCCATCCATCCATCTGTCTGTCCAGCCCTCCTCCCATCCATCCATTTGTCTACCTGCCCATCCCTCCCTCCTCCATTTGTCTCCCATCCATCCATCTGTCTGTCCAGCCCTCCTCCATCCGTCCCTCCATCCCTCCATCCCTCCACCCATCCATCCATCCTTCCATCTGTTCACTGACTCATTTTCTCTCATACTTATTTACCTGGCTTCCCCAGTGCCCGCCTGTGCTGAGTGCCGTGGGTGTGGAGACAAACCCAGCAACACCCTGCCTACCCAAAGCCCACAGCTGAGTGGGGAGATGTTGAGACCTGCACGGAGCAGCCTAAATGGTGGGGTGGCCTGTTTTCTGTTTCTGCCTTGGAGAAGAGGGTCAAGCTAGGGCATGTTCGTTCAGGAGACAAAGAGCAGGTAAAACCTGGCTGCGATGACTGAGAGAACAGGCTTGTCTCAAATGTCACCTTCTGGGGCCTCCCTAACACCCCCTGCAAGTCTCCCTCTCCCCAAGACCTTATTTCTCTCCTGGCACTTGCTGCCATTGGGGGCACTCTGTATTTTGGCTATTCATCTGTTGACTGGCTGTCCTCCTCCCTGAGCATAAGGTCCACCAGGGCAAGGGCTTTTTTTTTTTTGAGACAGAGTCTTGCTGTGTCTCCCAGGCTGGAGTGCAGTGGCCCAATCTCGGCTCACTGCAACCTCCGCCTCCCAGGTTCAAGCAATTCTCCTGCCTCAGCCTCCCAAGTAGCTGGGACTACAGGTGTCCACCACCACGCCCAGTTTAGTAGAGACGGAGGTTTCACCATATTGGCCAGGCTGGTCTTGAACTCCTGGCTTTGTGATCCACCCGCCTCGGCCTCCCGAAGTGCTGGGATTACAGGCGTGAGCCACTGCTCCTGGCCCAGGGCAAGGGTTTTTATCTATTGTGTTTACTGATGTGTCTCAGTGCCTAAAACTCGACAGGTAGCCTTGGTTTCATGAGTAGAGGGCATGGGCAGGGCAGGCCGCTGTCCGTGGGGTGATGACACCGCTGGGGCTGTGCAGACGGACAGTGGTGAAGGGATCTGAATGTGAATTTAAGAGGTTGACACATAGGACTGGGGACTCTGGATGTGGGGTGGAGAGAGAGAGGTGTCCAGGGCAACTCCTGGACTTGTGGCTCAGGTGCTGTGGGTGACTGGCACTTGCTGCATTAGATGCTGCTCTGCAGGAAGCATGGATCTGAACGGTCCCTGTTCTGTCAGTTAGACACCATGCTTCAAACTCCCTCAGCACCCAAGCTACTGGCTTCTCGAGTGCAGCATCAGCAATTGAACCCAAGTCTCAGCTGTATTTGCCCTGCCCAGAACAGGCCAGTCACCTCCTTCCTTCCAGACTCTATGCTTCTGTTAATGCAGCCTTAGCATGTAGCTGGCCACTCTCACAGGGACATGCCCGGACCTGGCCCTGAGCAGTTGCAGATATGAGGCAGGTACTCTCTTCATTTCATGGATGCAAAAGTGGAGGCACGGAATGGTCAAGGGGCTGGCCCATGGTCTCAACTATGAGTGGCAGAGTTGGGCTTTAAAGTCAGGCAGCTAGCTTCTAACCAGACGCTAAGCTTCATCCCCTTGAGGGCCAGGACTAGCATCAGGACTGGCCTTGGATGGGCCACTTGCTGCCCTTTACCCTCTGCCATAGCAGCTGGCACTGCTAACCCTGTGTCTCCTACTTGCCTACAAACAGTTAGGCTGTCAGGGGGGCTGTCCCTCCGTCAACTCTCAGCCTGCTCAAGGCCAGCCTGCAGGTCCGGCCATTAGAGGACAGGAAAACAGGTAGACAAACAGCCTCCTGGCCCTGCCACCTGCCCCGAGGGCCACCCAGATGGGCCTGGGTCTATGCGTCAACACCTGCCCCTCCCCTATCCTGCTGGCATTCCAGTCTGCGGGGCACTCACTGTTGCTTAGCAGCTATGTCACAGAGGCCTCCTGCACAGCCTCCCTGAGCCTTGGTGTCCCCTGTGGAGATCTCACAGGGCTGCAGCGCAGGTCACATGTGGCATGCACTGAGTCGCCTTGAGAGCCCACTGGGGCCTCCCCAGGTGGGCCCTGAATATCCCAGAGGGTGGGTTGTGTGAGAGCATCTGGGGATCATATCCAGCCCTGCCGCCCTCGTGGCCTTAAACAAGCCCGCTTTCTGGGTCTCAGTGGCCCCATCTGTGAAATGGGCAGCACTAATGCTGTGCTGCCTCCCTTCTGGGGCGGTGAGGAGGATCCTAGAGCCTGAGAGTGAGAGAAGCTTGGTGAACTGTAAGGTGGGGTGCACAGGCGAGGAGGTCCCTGGTTTTACAGTGCCCAGCAGACAGAAGTAGCCTCTTAGTGGAGAGGTCTCCCCTTCAGGAGGGCCCCAGCCAGCTGGTTCAGAGGCTGAATCGGCAGAGCCTCTGTCCTTGGTTCATGCAGGCATCCGGGCTTGGTGGAGGCAGCCCTGACCTTGGCCTCTGGGTCCGGGGAGACGCATTCCCATGGAGCAGACAGCAGGGAACCGGGGCAGCAGGAAGGGCGAGAACAGGTGGTGGGTGATGTTCCTGGGTTCAGGCCTGTTCCCCCGACCCCCTCCCTCCCTGACAACTGGAGCACCTTGAGGACAGGGACTGGCTGTCTTGCCTGGGTGTAGCATCAGCAAAGGAAGTGTTTGTTGAGTGAGTAAGTGAGGGAGCTTTGCAAGTTTCCCGGGCAAGGGGTCCTGAGCAAATCCAAGGGAGTCAGGAAAGCCCAGGGGACAGAGTGAAGGCTTGAGCTTGGACCTGGAGGGCAGGAGCTGTCACAGCCCCATCTCTGGACCTCCCCAGCAGGTGTTTGGATGTGGTGGGGCAGTGACCCTGCTCCCTGGTGTCTGCCACCTCCTGTGCTCTCTCCTGTGCTTTCCTGACGCCTGGGTCCCGAGGGCACTGGGACAAGGGTCCTGGGGGCAGGGGAGGGAGTCTAGCTGTGTGCCACGTGGCCCCAGCAGGCTCTGCTTCCGGTCCCCTCCCCTGCCGCAGGTATTTAAGGTCTGAGAGGGGTCAGTTGGGAGCTGTTGAGGCCACCCCGGTGGCACCAGAGCCCTCTCAGGAAGGCAGACCCAGGGCTTTCCCGCCACACCTTGTTCATGGATTTTGTTGCTGGAGCCATCGGAGGTAATTGACAGGATGGTGGGTGTGCAGACACTGCTGCTCCTGGGCGTAGCAGGAGCTGAGGCCCAGGAAGGTGCTGGGCAGCAGGGGGGTTTGAGGAGACCCCCAGCTCCCAGGATCTGCCAGGACCTGGTGTGGGCCATGGGTGCCAGGAGCAGAGAGCAGGTTCCTGGGAGACTAAGGCTAGATGAGGGGTGCTGCAGGGCCTGGGGGGCTGCAATGGCCTGGGAGGCTCAGACAGGAGGCTGAGGGCAGGCTGGGGATGGGGCTGTGGTCCAGGCATGGAGGTCGCTCGGGAGGCAGAGCTAGGGAGGCTGGGAGTTCTTGGTGTGGGGAGGGGTGATTGAGTCACTGGAAGGGAAGGAAGACCCCAGGAGAGGATCGAGAGGGCGGGGAGATGGGTAGGGAAGATGGGGCCTGGTCCTGCAGCAGGTACTGGAAGGGGCGGGCAGAGGACGGTAAGGGACCTGGCGAGCTGGCTCCACCTGCCCCGCTGGCTGTGTGCGCCTGGCTGGGCCTCCGGAACCTGCTTCTCAGGCCAGACTCTGCTGGGGAAACCGTTCTCCCTCCCGGGGAAGGGCTCCTGGTGAAAGACTGATTCAGTGAGATAACCAGGCCCTGGGACACGGGCTCAGCTCCATCCCGTGGGCTGTGGGGACTGTTTTGAGTGGGCACTCCTGGCCTTGCTGGTCTTGTGAAACAGCAGTGGGTGGCGTCAGTACTTCTGGGAATAGCATGGGGGTTGGGAGAGCGGCCAAGCTCTGGGCCTGGGAGAAGGCAGGGTACCTGCCCCATTAACAGGCTTTCTTTTTCTTTTTTTTTCCTTGAGATGGAGTCTTGTTCTGTCGCCTAGGCTGTAATGTAGTGGCGTGATCTTGGCTCACTGCAACCTCTGCCTGCTGGGTTCAAGTGATTCTCCTGCCTCAGCCTCCCAAGTAGCTGGGACTATAGACATGCACCACCATGTCTGGCTAATTTTTGGGTTTTTAGTGGAGGCCGGGTTTTACCATGTTGGTCAGGCTGATCTCAAACTCCTGACCTCAAGTGATCTGCCCGCCTCAGCATCCCAAAGTGTTGGGATTACAGGTGTGAGCCACTGCGCCCGGCCTCCATTAGCAGGCTTTCTGAGCCCCAGCTAGGTGCCAGCCTGGGGCCAGCCGCTCCCTTCCTCAGGGAAGTTACTGGACTTGCCTGAGGTCACACAGCTGGAAAGGGCTCCTGAGTCTGGCATCTTTCCTCTGAAGCCATGGGGAGGCCTAGGTAAAGGGCTGTCACTCTGTGCCTGGCCCTGGGTCATGGGGTGTCAGCCCTGGGCCATGTCCTTGGAGAACTACAGTTCTGGAGGTGGCGGTGGCATACAACAGCAGCAAGGCCATATGACAAGGCCTCTGCTCAACATGTTCCAGGCACAGAGTCAGCCCAGAGTACAGAGGTCAGAGAGGGCTCCAGAGAGGAGGTGGTGTTGTGGCAGGGCTCTGATGGATGAGTAGGAGTTCTGTGAGGTGCATGAGGTGTACGGGAGGGTTAAGAAGGGTCATTCTCTCCAAGCCACTTGGTCTTTTGCCTTACTTCATTTATTCGCTTCATTCTTTCATCCCGCATATTTACTGAGTCCTGGGCCACAGTAAATAGGGTACAGTCCCCATGTGCCTATTGTCTTCCATTGGCCTTTACCACTGACCCTCAGGGGAGAGAATGGTCCCCCCAGGGACCAGCCTATTTCCTGTCTGACTTCCCTGTGTCAGTGCTGGGGCTTGGATGTTGAGGCCTGGCACCTGAAGCCTCTCTGCAAGGTGTGGACTCCCGGCCCTTTCTCTTCCACACGCACTTGTGATTCCTGGCAGTCCTGGCTCTTCACAAACCCCGGTGTGGGCTTGGGCTTCCCTCCTCCTGGCCTTTGCCCAGGCTGTGCCTCCCACTCCTTCCACCCACGCAGCCAAAACACAGTTACTGCCTAGCTCACAGGCAAACCCTCCACGGACTGACGGTTCGAGGGCAAGGTCTGCCTGGCTCAGAGACAGGGCCCAGCCTGGGTTGGATCAGACATTCTCTCAGAACGTGATGCCCGTGGGGAGGCTGGGCCATGTCTTTGGCCCAAGGCAGCGAGGATGAGGCAATCCCAGGCTAGGACTCAGGGAAGGGGAACTCGCTTGCAAAGGGCAGAAGTCACTTGGAGATTCAGTTTCCTCATCTATAAAACGAGGGTGCCTTCAGGGGATGAGACCTGGTGCAGACCAGAAGGGCCAAATATGGGTCTGCCCTTGGGGGAGCCCAGTTGGTGTGCACCTGCTTCTTCTTCCCTGCAATGGGGTGGAACTGCTCGCTGGCCCCACTTTCCTCACCGTGGGCCTCTGCTTTCCTTCCAGGCGTCTGCGGTGTTGCTGTGGGCTACCCCCTGGACACGGTGAAGGTGTGGCAGCAGCCAGCCCCCCAACCATCCCAAGGCCCCTGCACCCATCCATGGCCAGAAGACTTTCCAGAATGCTAAACAGACCCACCCCTTTCCTGCTCAAATGCCTTCAGTGGCTCCCCATAGCCCCTGGGACTGTCAGTCCCATCTTCTCGCCTCTGCACCCCAGGTTTCTCATCTAACACAAGGCTCCCTGTCCCTGCTGTGCCCACAGTCCAGCATGGCTGGGACAATCAAGAGGGTGACTCTGCCCCTTCCCCAGGGCCTGCTGGCCTTGCCCTAGGCCTGGAGCTACTCCTTCCTGAAGCTCACTTCTCCCGCAGGTCAGGATCCAGACGGAGCCAAAGTACACAGGCATCTGGCACTGCATCCGGGATACGTATCACCGAGAGCGCGTAGGTCTGGGGCCAGGGTGTGGGCAGGGAGACAGGGAGGGGATGCTGGGCCTGCCTCCACTGCCCAGCAGGTGATGCTGGGCTCCCCACTGGGTCTCAGCTCTCTCACCTTCCACATGGGAATAGTTCTGCCAATCTCGTGAGTTCCTCTGAGGACTGGAGCCAGTTCATCTGGCAGCTAGAGGGGCCTCAGAAGGAGGTTCCCACCTCCAGCAGAGGGTCTAGAGGTAGCGTTCAGGCCTTTGAAGGTCAGAGGAGGGACCCATGCACTGCATTTCTGGCTCCTCCAGGCCAGGTGCCCCTTGAAGGCAGTGTTGGGTGGAGTCTTCAGGGTCTAGCTTAGAGACCTGTCCAGAGGCAGGACTTGGTGACATTCTCTAAAGTGAACTTGGGGCTTGGTGCAGGCCAGGAGCTAGCTTGTGAAAGCAGTAGAGGCATAACATGCTGTTAATAGTTCATTATCAGGCCAGGTGCGGTGGCTCACGCCTGTAATCCCAGCACTTTGGGAGGCCGAGGCAGGCGGATCACCTGTGGTCAGGAGTTCGAGACCAGCCTTGCCAACATGGTGAAACCCTGTCTTTACTGAAAATACAAAAATTAGCTGGAGGTGGTGAGCAGGCAGCTGCTCAGGAGGCTGAGGCAGGAGAATCGCTTGAACCTGGGAGGTGGAGGTTGCGGTGAGCTGAGATCTTGCCACAGCACTCCAGCCTGGGCAACAGAGTGAAACTCTGTCTCAAAAAAAAAAAGAAAAAAAAGAGTTCATCATCATTAAGCAACTGCGCTGGGTTTGGCCTGGTCCTCTGAGTCTTCAGGTCTCCCCTCGTGACCTCCATCCTACAGCAGAGGAAACTGAGGCCCTGAGACTGTGAATGACCTTCCCGAGGTCCAACAGCAGAGTGCAGGGCGGGGCTGAGTGTGGGCTCCCTTGGTGGGCTCCTCTTTCTGGCGGGGCCCTGGCCTCACCTAGACCCTGTCTGCTAGGTGTGGGGCTTCTATCGCGGCCTCTCGCTTCCTGTGTGCACGGTGTCCCTGGTGTCCTCCGTGTCTTTCGGCACCTACCGCCACTGCCTGGCGCACATCTGCCAGCTCCGGTACGGCAGCCCTGACGCCAAGCCCTCCAAGGCTGACGTCGCGCTTTCGGGATATGCCTCCGGCCTCGTCCGCGTGAGTAGGGGCAGCCAGGGTGGGGAAGACCCAAGAGAGACTGCGGAATCTGCGAGGTTATCCACCCTGGCAGGTGGGGAAACTAAGGCTTGATGAGGGCAGACACTGGAGGCCATGCATGGAGCCAGGGGCTGTGGGAGAGGAACTGGCATCCCGCCCAGGCTGGGCCCAGAACCCCTGAGCAGTGCACAGATGAGGGGCTCACTGCTGTCCTGCCCAGCACGGCCCCCTGGGGAAGGGGGCTGTGACCAAAGAGACCCTCCCCGTCACGGTCAGAAGGTCACCTAGAAGCCACCATGGGGAGCTGAATAGGCAGGCCCCGGGCACTCATGGCTCCGGGCACAGAGATGCCTGAACACAGTCAACTGTTGCTGGACGCGGGCATTTCTCCATCCTCAACTGTGCGTGGAGCACCTGCAGTGCCCGTCTGCCCTCAGGGAGCCCTGGCTCCCGCAGTGGGGACAGACTTCTGCACACGGTGACAGCACGGAGCCAGCTGGAGCAGCCCAGTGGCTGAAGGCCTGGCCCAGGGGTCCAGACTACCAGGCCCAGCTCTCAGCTCTGACTCTCAGGAGCTGAGCAACCTTGGGCAAGCAAGGGAGACTCCTGGAGCTTCTGTCTCTCCATCTGTAAGAGGCATGATGAGAATTTAGTGAGATCATGAGGGTAAAGCCCCCAGCACACATATGTGGAGTCCGACATGAATGAGTACCCACGAAGTGGCAGCCAGTATGTCTAGTGATTTTTTTTTTTTGAGACAGAGTCTTGCTCGGTTGCCCAGGCCAGAGTTTAGTGGCACCATCTTGGCTCACTGCAACCTCTGACTCCCAGGTTCAAGCAATTCTCCTGCCTCAGCCTCCTGAGTAGCTGGGACTACAGGCGCGTGCCACCATGCTCGGCTAATTTTTGTATTTTTAGTAGAGGTGGGGTTTCACCCATATTGGCCAGGCTGGTTTCAAACTCCTGATCTTGTGATCCGCCTGCCTTGACCTCCCAAAGTACTGAGATTACAGGCTTGAGCCGCTGCGCCCGGCCGTGATATTATTTTATTGCTGATACGTTATTAAATACGTTCTTGAACCTGGGTCACCGACATTTTCTTACCACCTCCCAGGAGAAGTCCGGCAGGCTGGCGCCTGGGAGAGATGTGGCTGCCGAGGAAGCATGAGCTTTGGTGGGCAGAGCTGGCTTTGGACCCCGTGGCCCCCAGCTCTGGGCCAGCCTGCAGGGTCTTGGGGCCCAACCTCCTGAGGTCACCGTGGGCAACATGAGGCCGGTGGGAGGCCAGGTCCAGGCTGTGGGCAGAGCCACAGGTGGCTGACCCCTGCCTCCTTCTCTGGTCCAGGTGTTCCTGACATCGCCCACTGAGGTGGCCAAAGTCCGCCTGCAGACACAGACACAGGCACAGAAGCAGCAGCGGCGGCTCTCGGCCTCGGGGCCCTCGGCTGTGCCCCCCGTGTGTCCTGCGCCCCCAGCCTGCCCAGAGCCCAAGTACCGCGGGCCGCTTCACTGCCTGGCCACAGTAGCCCGCGAGGAGGGGCTGCGCGGCCTCTACAAGGGCAGCTCGGCCCTGCTGTTACGGGACGGCCACTCCTTTGCCACCTACTTCCTTTCCTACGCCATCCTCTGTGAGCGGCTCAGCCCCGCTGGCCACAGCCAGCCAGGTGAGCAGGGGCTGGAACCTGGCAGGGCGGGGAGCCCGGCGGGATGAGGACAAGGTGAGGTCTTGCTGCCCGCCAGTACCCGAGTGGGGGCTTGAACTCGGCTTCCTGCCTCCCAGGGTGGGCTCCTCAGTTCCCCCAACACCAAGAGTCAGCACAGAGTTGCTGTGTCAGCGTCAGTGTGTGGCTGTGGACAAGTTCCCTTCCCCTCTCCCAAGCCACTTGCAAATGAGGATGGGCCGGAAGAGTGAGTCCGGGGCACATTGCCCTGGGCGCCCCGATCAGGCTCCCAGTCAAGGCACTGTGGTCTCTCGGCAGATGTTCTGGGCGTGCTGGTGGCCGGGGGCTGTGCGGGAGTCCTGGCCTGGGCTGTGGCCACCCCCATGGACGTGATCAAGTCGAGACTGCAGGCAGATGGACAGGGCCAGAGGCGCTACCGGGGCCTCCTGCACTGTATGGTGACCAGCGTGCGGGAGGAGGGACCCCGGGTCCTTTTCAAGGGGCTGGTGCTCAACTGCTGCCGCGCCTTCCCTGTCAACATGGTGGTCTTTGTCGCCTATGAGGCGGTGCTGAGGCTCACCCAGGGTCTGCTCACATAGCTGGTCCCCACGCTCAGCGGCCCACCCGCCGGCAGCTGCGGGAGGTTGTGGTGGCTGGAGGAGGCAAGGGGTAGTGTGGCTGGGGTTGGGACCCCACAGGGCCGTTGCCCAGGAAAACGAGGAGCCTCCCTGCAGTGAGTCGGCCGAGGCCTGAGCTTGCCCTGCCCAGCTACTGACCTCAGGTCGAGGGGCCCGCCGGCCATCAGCCAGGGTTGTCCTGGGGTGGCAGGAGCCAGGGAGGAGTGGGCCTCTTTGATGAGGGCGTGTCGCATGGAGTCAGTTGTTCATCCCAGCTTCCCCGTGGCCCCCGCCTCCCATGTCTTTGGAGCAAACTTCCAGGGAGTCAGGTGTGTACTCAGCCAACCTCTGTCCCATTCCCAGACCCTCGTCCCCACCACTGTTCTTGTCTTCATGAGCTGTCCCTTACAGGCAGGGGCTTCCCACAGGCTGGGGGCCTTGGGACAGGGAGCATGAGCTGGGCTGGCCCACCATGACTGACGGCCCCCGGCCTGGCTTGTTCCCCACAGCAGGCTGCTCCCAGGGGTGCTGCCGGGACTGCCATGCCCACCTGGCAGGGGCCCGGGGTGGCCGTCCTCACCCGGTTAGGGAATTTGGGGTGAGGTTCCTCAGGAGCCCTCACTCTGCCTGTGGACGCTGGAAAGACCCCAAAGACTCTGCAAAGACCCCAAAAACGCTGCAAAGACCCCAAAGACTCTGTTGGGAACTGTTGTGAATAAAATGTTTCTGAGGATGTTCAGGGCTGTGGCTCCATGGCCGTGGGCTGACCGTTCCCTGCCCCCAGCAGCTTCGCACCCCATGAGGCCTGCCCACCTATCCTGGGAGGTGCAGGGCCCTGGCCCTGTCCTGCTCGCTTCCTGCTGGACGAGCCCCCTCCAAACCCAAGCTGCCAGCGCTCCCACTGTGCAGATGGGCACACTGAAACACCGCCTGGCGCTCTGGCGGGCTCCACCCGCTCAGCCTTCTGGGTTGTGGGGCCTGGCCTATGGCGCCGAGTCCTGCTGCAGGGGGCTGTTCAGCAGGGTACTTGCTCTCCTCACCACCTCATCCCAAACCCACCCGCTTTCTGAGCGAAAGCTGGTTCCAGCCAGGCCCTCCCACCCACCCTGTGTGGGAGGGTGCCGGGCACCTTGCACAGCTCACCACAGCCACCGGATGCCAGGCGAGCAGACAGCTCCAAGAGGGAGGGGGCCTTGCCTGCAGTCACGCATCAGGAGGGGTGGGTGGACTGGAGCCCGTGCTTCTGAGGCTCCAGCACCCTCCTCCTGGTATCAATCATGTGGCTTCCACTGATGGGGGCTATCAGGGGCTAGGGCTGGCAGGTCCAGCGTGAAGCCATCGGGTCTCCACCACAGCAGCCCGCTGGCAGGGCTGGAGGCCACCTGCATTGACTATAGTCACTCAGGGACACCGACCTTGACTGTGTCTGTGCACTGAACGCTGTCCTCTGTTCTGCCGAACAGAACTCTTCTGCTCCCAGAATAAGGGGTGGACCCCCCTTCCTGGGTCTGCTCCTGTTATGCCAGTCCCCATATGTGTGGTGCTGTGGACACCTGATCTGATGCCCTGTGCCCCGTGCCAGGAACACCCTCCCCCTGCTCTGCCTGGCTGGCTCCACACCCCAGGTGCCACCTCCTCCGGGAAGCTCTCCCTGCCTGACCACTGGGTTGCTCCCAAGCATCTCCTGCTCTGCTCCCGTGGGGACCTAGTTGGGTGTGTGGTCACTCGTCTGCCTCTCCCCAGCCACAAAGAGCCTGTGAGCTGCGCAAGGACTCCATCTAGCTCCAGGGCTGCTGTACAGTAGCGGGTGTGGGATGAATGAGTGAGTGAGTGAATGAATAAGGCCTGCAGTAGATTCCAGGAAGTGCGTCCAGCTTAGGAGTTGCAGAGGCTGAGATGCTGTGGCCAAATGCTGGGAAAGGGCAGGTGCTAACCGGTTTCCATCGTTCATCAAACACTGACCCTGGGACCATTTGTGTTGAGAAGACCCCACCTGTTCGGCCTTGGCAGGAGGGTTCCTGGCAGCACTCCTGGCCCGGCTCTGGCAGTGGCTGCACTCTGGGAGGTGGGGCCTTTGGCTCTCCCTGAGCCTGTGTCACTGAGCAGCTGGCTCTGCCTGTCACTGGGGAGGGGGTTTGCAGGAAGGGCCTCTGTCCTCACTGTCTTTACAACCTCTATGGTAATGACCAGAGAGTCCTGGGCCTCAAGGCCCAGCCAGCGTAACCCTGGGGAGGGCACAGCTGCTGGTGCTGCAGGTGGGCACTGGGGGCCAGAGGCAGGCCTTTTGCTTGCCAAGTGCTGTCCTGGAGCAGCGAGCTGTTCCACAACCACCCGTGTGCTCAGCCACCCTCCTTCCTGGCCCTGCTTCCCCACCCAGTGCTGTTTTATGTGCTTCTCAGGCCCCGTCTCCTTTCAGGCAGGCTCAGCTGGTCTCTCCTCCAGGCTGGGGGCCACGGGGCAGAGAGGCTGAGCTGGCCCGGCCCCACATCTGTCTGCCAGGTGGACATCACCAGCTGGAGTAGGAGTGCTCTTCTGGCAGAGCCTACGGCACCACGGTGGTGCTGGCACCCAGCCTCATGCCTCATCCCCAAACACCCATGGGGCCACTGCAACCTGTCCATCCTAATCCAGACATGCCCGTGCCTTTCAGGGAACAATTCTCTCAGAAACCATTGGTTTTTAGCAAAATGGGGGAGGTTTGGGAGACGTGCAGCTCCCCTGTGTCCTGACCAGCAGTGACCTTGGGCAAGTCACCTGAGTATTGGACCCAGGGCACCCCTCCTAAGACCCTAAACAAGAGGCATCACTGCTTTTTACAGGGGAGGAGATGGAGGTCCTGGGAGGTTAAGTGACCTGGCCAGAGTCACACAGCCGGTGAGGGGAGAAGCTGGTCGGTGTTGGCTCACTCCTCCTTGGGGCCAGGGTCTCACCAGGGCCCTGCCAATAGATGCTCTGGCTGGGTGGACAACGACAGCAGTGGCTGTCACTGACGTCACTTGTCACCCCTCACTGCACTTGCATCACAGGTGCAGTAGAGCTACAAGGAGTCACATTAGTTGCCCAGGGCAACAGGCTAGTGAGCTACATGGCCTCTGTGGGTGGCTCACCCCCACTGGCCATAGCCAGCCAGGTGAGCAGGGGAGGGCAGGGGTGGGGCCCAGCTCAGCAGGAGTTGAGACAGGGAGGAGGCGTAGGTGAGGTCATGGTGCACATGGGTACCTGAGTGGGACTGGAGCCCACGCCTCCAGCCTCCCAAGAGTCAGGACAGACTTGCTGTGTCAGAGTCACCCTATGGCCTTGGACAAGTCATGTTCTCCTCTCCTAAGCCTCAGCTTCCCCACTTGCAAAATGAGGATGAGCTGGTAGAATGAGCCCAGGGCTCCCTTGCAGCTCGGCGCCTGCCCTGGGCCTCATGTGAACGGGGCCTGGCCTGGCTCCCAGCCTGTGCTCCCTGTCACTACACAGCACCACCAAGTACCCCACGGCCAGCCCCTCCTCTGAAAAGCGAGGACAGCCTCTGCTTGTGTTCTCCATCAACTTCTGGAAATGAGAAATGTGGTGTGAGACGGAGCCCGCACCGGGATGCTGCTAAGGGCTCTCCCAGCACAAGCCCATTCCTGGGAGCTGTGACACAACACCATGGGGTTCCCGGGACTGTGCACTTTCATCCCCAAATTTTGACTCCAGCAGACTCAAGGTCATACACAGAAGGGTGAGGGGAGGGGTCTCTGCTCCCTCCTCAGACCTCCCAGACAGAGCACAATGACAAGAGCCGGAGCCAAGAGCGGGAGCCAAGGAAGTTTATTTACTCTACTGGGTGACAGGAGGGCAGAGCGCTCCAGAGGAGACCCAGACACATCAACCAAGGGCTTCCCTGAGATTTGGCTTTGCTCTTCCAGACCTGCTCATGGTGCATGATGAAATGAGGCCTGCCTAGACACCCGTGAGGGCCTCGAGGGCTGCTGCCTCAACTTTCTCCCTAGCTAAGTCCACCCGTCCAGGGACACAGCCAGGGCACTGCTCTGTGCTGACTTCCACTGCAGCCAAGGGTCAAAACGAAGCATCTGCAAAGGCCAGGACTCCTTGGCATCGGACACAGTCAGGGGAAAAGCGACCCTGATTCTGCAGGACAGAGGGTCTAGGGTCATTTGGCGGGAGAATACTGGTATGCCAAGGGAAGTGAGCTGATTTCTGGACTGGAATACATGCATGGTCTGGAGTTCAGTAAACTGGACGGTTTCACCCCCAAGTCTCAATTAATCAAAATTGCCCAACTCTGTTCAATCTTCATTGTTAAAAGCAGCTTTAAAGCTGGGTGATTTCTTAGTCAAATGTATAGCAAAGCTTTTACTTACCAATTTCTTTTGGGAGGGGGTGTGGGCTGAAATACAACTTGTGCTCAATAAACCTCCCCACATCGATGTTTCAAAGCACTTTCTAGGTTACAATAATGACATTTCAATTCCATATATGCATACATAGAATATATATTTTTAAACAGAGTGGGTCTTAAGAGTATACTGGGAACCCTCGGAGTCCTCCATGGACCAGAACAGGGTGGTCCATGGACTTCCAGCCAAAGGCTCCACTCTTTGGGGCTGCTCTGGGGAGAGACTCACAGCTGGACTTCTCTATCTGACCATGCAATGTTAGCCAGCACCGATCACCCACAATGCTTTGCCCATGAGAGACAGAAATGATGGAACTCACAGGAAGAAACAGTATTGATAACATACATAGGCTTACAGAGACCAGGCCCAATAATAATCATGAGACAGAAGCCTACGGGTGGCAGTGCTTTGACTGGGCTGGGATTATTGATACATCACTTCTTTTATAAGCATATGTAAAATGAGTGCTACTGAAAGTCGAAGGACAGCTCCCGGGGAGTCATGAATTCCTTTGCTATCTCATCCGTGACCTCCTTGCGCCGGGCCTGGTGCTCTGCGATCAAGGGCTGGAGAACCTCTATGAGTACCTTCTTGAGCTCACCGGTGAGCATGGCTCCGCTGGTGTAATCCTGCCCAGAGGGAGACAGCCGTGTGAGAGATGGCTCCACATGTCCTGAGCGGCTCCTTCCTGCCTTGGGCACCAGCTAAGCCCACACCACCCAAGAAGAGGCTGGCACGTGGGTGGCACTCAGAAGTGAGATGTGTTGTTACCACAACAATAACCTATACCTTCAGCTACACTTTTCCTAAAACGGCTAGAAACCTGGCTCTGACGGTAGCCATGACTAGGTCTCTCACAGTGAAAGGGCCAATGGGGAGGGCAGTCCCCAACCCTACCAACGCTAGGGGCCGCCGTTCCCCCAGGCACTAAACAACAATTCCTGGCAGCCTCACGGCTTCTGGAAAATCTTGCTAATTTTTTTTTTTTTTTTTTTTTTGAGACGGAGTCTTGCTCTGTTGCCAGGTCGGAGTGCAGTGGTGTGATCTCGGCTCACTGCAACCTCCACCTCCCAAGTTCAAGTGATTCTCCTGCCTCAGCCTCCTGAGTTGCTGGGATTACAGGCACATGCCACCATGCCTGGCTAATTTTTGTATTTTTAGTAGAGATGGGGTTTCACCATATTGGCCAGGCTGGTCTCAATCTCCTGACCTCGTGATCTACCCGCCTCGGCCTCCCAAAGTGCTAGGATTACAGGCGTGAGCCACCGCACCTGGCCAAATTTTGCTGATTTTTTCTCTTTTTCTGATTGTAATGCAGGCTCATTAAGCAAATTTAATAAAGTACCCAAACCACAAAGCCGCAGCAAAGAAAAATCACCTACAAATTGCCCACCTAAACAGCGCCCAGAGGTGGGGTCTGCCACTAACATTTGGTGAATTTTTTTACATTTCTTTTCATGTGCATTTCATTTAAACATAGTTAACTGCTCCCTGAGTTTTCATTTGGTATCCTTTTTTCACTATCATAGGCATATTTTCCTGTGTCACTAAAACTTTTTTTTTTTTTTTTTTTATAGAAAGAGGGTCTTGGCTGGACGTGGTGGCTCACGCCTGTAATCCCAGCACTTTGGGAGGCCGAGGCGGGCAGATCACAAGGTCAGGAGATCGAGACCATTCTGGCTAACACGGTGAAACCCCGTCTCTACTAAAAATACAATTTAGCCGGGTATGGTGTTGGGAGCCTGTAGTCCCAGCTACTCGGGAGGCTGAGGCAGGAGAATGGCATGAACGGGAGTCATGAATTCTTTTGCTATCTCATCCGTGAC